CAATTGATGTTGAAAGAATTTTTGATTCTAACTAAATTGAATCTTCTATAATGGTTCAAGTTTCCTTTATGGTGCTAGCTCGCTTGCTCGCTATTCTTTAGTTGTTTAATCTTAAGTGTTGTTGTTTGGAGAATGTCCTAGTACTTTTTCTTATCTAAGTTTTTGCTCCTAATAAGGGACTTATCTGTCCGCTAGCTCTCTCCCTGGAAAGGATACGTCCTTTGTCGAACTCCGTTGTAACCCAAAAAGCTTGATCAGGTTGAAAACAAAAACTTAGGTGGAAAAAATAAAATAAAATAAAATTGAATCTTATAATGATTTTTGTTTTAATTGTCAAATTTCTAGCTTAATCAAGCAGACTTTTGTTGAAAAAAAAAAATATCGAGCAGACTTTGTTTAGGTAGCAAATGGTGTCTCACATAAGGGATCCATTCTCAGAAAAGAGACTATAAAGTTGACTTTATACTGATTTTGGGCTTTTTTTCTGCTTCCACGTCCTTTTCTATAACTGTGTTACATCAAATATAAGGTTATTCAGGACCAGGTAAACACATTTCTCCTCTGATTTATATACGGAATATGAAATACCGAAGTAAAGATCTGGCTTCTACGTTTCATTTACTTTCTTAAATTCTTGTTTCCCTTTTGTTCGTTCTGTGTTTTGATAGGTAACTAATTTGCAGAAACGCATTATAAAACTAGAATCTAGTGTTTCTGCGAAATCTAATCAAACGAGTGAATCCCTCAGGTGAGTCCTTCAGGACCCATCACTCTCCTCATTTTTCCAGGAGGTGATAGCACGGCTGGGCTACTTCCGTGTTGGTTGTGCTCAGAGGCTTTTGGTTCTAGGGCATCTCCTTTTGAAGCCGGAATCTGAAGCTTTCCTGGCTCAGTTGGTGATGGAGAAGCCGAGAAATACCTGAACAAAAAGACGAATGATATCAGAGAGATGAAATGAAATTTTTATCCTGTGAGTTTCTTTTGCAAGACTAACCTGTGTTCCAAAGCTTGCTGTATCGTGATCCTTTGTCGTGGGTCATAGATGAACATTTTTGCTAAAAGATCCAAAGTGTCATCGCTTGCCATAGGGAAAATGGTACGTAATGGTGGAGCAGGCGTAAAGGAGAACTCCATGTAGTCTGGGAGATAGATCATGTCAGACCATTGGGCTTGTGTTGGAGTTCCAAAAGCTTGAAAGATTTTTCCAAGTTGATCAATCTCAGTAGAACCCTGAGGAAATTAAAAGCAATGAAGAAATAACTGCGAATATCAAGAAAATCCTTAAAGTGAACAGTATAGAAAATTACCGGTAGAAATGGTCTACGAAGTAATAGCTCAGCAAAGATACAGCCTGCAGCCCAGACATCAACTCCTGCTCCATACTGTCTACTCCCGAACAGCAATTCAGGCGCTCTGTACCATGTAGCAAATACCTGTGTGCATTTAGATCCGATAGAATCTTCCAATGTGAGCAAGCAGATACAAAACCAAAAGAGGTCTCTACACAGACAATCAATCAATTCCAGAATCTTCTAGAGTAAAAGATGTCAATACGTCCGTAACCAACGAAATGGTATCTGGTGGCTTTGAACCAACAATCGTTCACCTCACCAAGCATCGGAATTGAAACTGTATGATATTCTTCTCAATGCTCTGAATCAATTCTTCATTTCCAGAGGAAAGAACTTCCAATAGATCACCAAATTCTAGACTAGACTAGCAGCCAACTTAACCATAAAAAATATAAAATTTTATCGATCACCGGATACAATACCTGATGAGTAAACCTCCGATTTGGACTCCCAAACAACCTCGCCAGACCAAAATCAGCTAGTTTCAACTGACCATTCTCTCCAATCAGTAAATTATTAGGTTTCATATCCCTAAAAAACAAACTGTCACAGATCAAGATCCAACCTAAAAACCAAAATCTAACTAAGAAGAAGCAATAAAAAGAAAAGACTTGTTTGTTTCACCTGTGCAACACCCACTTCTTGTGACAATAAGCTAAACCTTTCAACGTCATCAACATGTACGACTTGATATCTCCAGGAGAAAGAAAGATGTTCCGGTCACGAATCACAGCTTCCAAATCCGTTTGCATATACTCGAAAACAAGATGCAAGCTTCCATTGTGAGGAAACGCATCAATGAGTTCGACTATATGTGGATGGTTAAGCTCCTTTAGAAGCTTAATCTCTCTAAGCGCCGTGAAATTCACGCCTTCTTTCTGGTTCCCTAACCTAATCTTCTTCACCGCAACAGTCTTCCCAGTCTAGAAGAAATCGAGAGATGGATATGTAAGCAACGCAAACATGGAACTGAATCTGATGAAATTTCGAATCGGGAAGGGCTTTGTATGGATTGCTATACCTTAGTGTCGGTGGCTTTGTAAACGACACCGTATGTTCCCTCTCCGAGCACTTGACGTCTCAGATACCTATCGACTGGTTGTTTGTCGCCGGATTTCGACATCGGGCTTTTCCTCTCCGGTTACTGTCTAAACAAATCAACGAAGGTGAGGGCTACTAAAGCACTTTAAGGAATTTAGATTCGTTAGTCTCAATTTTTACCCTTGTTTTCTATTAGTTTATGAAACAAACCTCATATTTCCGAAATTATTAGAAACAACCTTCACTTTTTAGCACTTTAGTTAGTTTCGTTGGTCTCAGTTTCACCCTTACTTTTTAGTATTTTATTAAACAAACCGAACCTATCAGAAACAACCTTTACTTTTTAGCACTTTAATGAAGTTTTAGGGGACCTCATTATATATGTTGCATTCAAACATGATCTAACAAGCAGATTGTGAATGTTTTTGGAAATATTTGCTTTGCTTTGATGAAATCTTAAGACCAGAAAAACCAAAAAAAAAAAAACATTCAAACATGTGGAGAATCACGTTCCCTAAAGCCTCACACAAGTACAGCTAACTGCAGATAGTGTTTTGAGATAGAGAAGAAGCAAAATGCAAGATCATTGGAGACCAAGAAGAGGAAAGTTCTCGTCGAATTCCGAGCTAAGATTTGGCTTAAGGAAGAATCATGATTCCTGCGGTTTCGGTGGCTGGTCAGACAAAACCTCAGATTCACCACTGACATCAGGTTGTTGTTCATCAGTTGGTTCAGGAGGAGGATCAACAGCGGCAGCCTGCTCGTCTTCTGGATGAAAGTTGATTGGGAATTTAGTTACTCTAGGTTTGTCGGAGAGTATGTTCCTCTGGACTTTATCGACCAAAACCTTAGTTGGAGGCTCTTCCCTGAGTTGCTCATCCTCGTAGTCATTGTTCACGTAATACCCAACTCTTAAGAATTCTTGACCCATGTACGAACATGTTAACAATAGCACAGTGACACCGATGATGTCTTCCTCGCGGATCTTTGATGGATCTGGAGGATCAGCCTGTAAAGTTTTTTTCCAACAAAACATGGTAATGGAGAGATAGTTAGGCCAAGAATCTGATCGCTAGACAACAAGGAGTGTAAAAGAAAATGCATATGTTACCTGCAATACAAACCGGTAGTTCCCAACATTAACAGGCCCCACAAGCACACTCTCTAGAAGTTGATCGTAAGTCTCATCTTCTGCTGAGCCTACATAGATAAGTTTCCATTCCAAATCTGTACCAAAAGCAAAGCTCGAATGTAAGTTGAAAGAATCGTTTTCTTTTAATTTCTTGATTACAAGAAAATGACACAAGGACTCATTGCTTTTATGAGCAAGTGAACAGACACAACTATCAAGGAATCGTTGCTTTTATGAGCAAGTGAACAACCAGTTTCTATAAGATATATGGATAGCTACGATCACTTTATTGCACAAAGATAAGTAACCAAAACATATCTAATCACTTTCCAGGCAAATCCAAAACCATGAATCCTGAAAGACTAATGTATCTGCTTTAATCATAGTGTACATATCCAGCGTCCAAACCCTCTGCGAACCAACACCTCAAAAATTGTAACCATACGAAACCACTAATCTAGGTATAAAAAGCTACCCTGGAAACAAGCATTGGGGGAAAAACAGCCGCCCAAAACAATAAATTTTAACATTGAGCAGTTCAGTTTCACTTCAACCTCTATGCTAATCAAGAACTTGTGCATATCAATCCAACTAATAAGACAACTAGAGTTGATGGATTCTACTGTATCACATAGTAGAAAACTTTTGTGAGATATCAAACACAGCAGAGACAAAAACCCAAAACCTCAAAGTTAAGGTTTGTAGCACCATAACACCAAGAATAGAGAAAACATGTTTCTTATCCACAAATGCTCTTTATGCTTCAAAGCTACTGCTTGAATCGATCATTGAAATCAAACCATATAGAGCAATGACTCTGATATTGCAATGGGTAACAAGAATCATACACGAATGAATATATAGAAATCAAAATCTACCTGATAACATGTTCCACCTACAAATCATCAGAATTTTAACCAAAGAATTAGGCTTAAGTCTAAGGCCAAATACATCAATTACAGTTCTCTCTATACAAACCCTTGAATCGGCAGAGACAAAAAAAAGAAAAACTTCAATAAACCAGGCATAGAAGGGAGAAAGTGGAGATTACATACCGTCATTGAGGGAAGTCAAGCACTCGTAAGAAATCTCGAACTGAAAAGGGCTAACAAAAGGCGCAGGATTATCCAACACAGTGACGTTTGTGATATTGATTGCACTCATTATCGAGAAGAAAACCCTAAATCGAACTCAGCTTCGAAGAACCCTAGATTCATTCAAACTCCCCCAGATATTAACAAGTTGCTTTTGTACTCTTTCGAATACAGAGCGAAATCGAAGCCCGAAAAGGGAAGAAGCAGAAGGAGGAGGAAGAGTTAGGGTTTTTTTCTGAAATTTTCGCAGGGCTCTCAATCACTCGAGAGGGCGATTTAATCGGGAATATGGTGGGAGAGGCGAGTAGAGACTAGAGAGAGATTTATGAAAAGAAAAGTTTCGATTTTGAGGAGTATTCATTCTTATAACCGGTTGCCGCAAGGAAGGTGACCGGCTATCACCGGTTGGCTGAATTGGCGGGAGGAGGTACTTGGCCCACGAATTGGAGGAGGGAAAACGGAAACAAAATTGAAAACTCATGTCAAAACGATTTTTGTTTTTTTTTTTCTTCCCGGCAAAACTTTTAACATTTTTCATTATAAATCAAGAGTACAAAGTCATGTTCTTGAATGCAAATTATTATGATATAAATAAATCTGTGTCACAGGTTTAACACGATCAAACGACAATGATAAACTTTAACCTTATGTTCGAATATCTGTCCACATGCTAGAGCAATTTGGAGTTGTGCTAATATTCCACATTTTGATTCAAACTCTTTTTGTCGAATACGAAAACCTCTTGT